ACCCATTGCCCTTTCAGTGGTGCAGCCTGTGGTGGTGATTCTCCACTCTCAATGTATGATGGGGCGGTTATAGACCTGTGTGTCTCCACCACCTCTTTTCCATCTCACCCCAGGAGACTGCTCTTGCTGCTTTTGTCTTTGTGCCAAGGTGGGTTACTTCTGTTCGGTCAGATGCTGAGTCTTCTATATGGTGACTTCATGAAGGTCATGTTTTCACTCATCCTGATCTACAGTTAAGGTTGTTGTCTTGCATAGGAGAGGGAGATGTACAGTGTAGTATCTTGGTTATATCCATAGGAAGAGAAGCCAAAAAATCCCATCCTTGCACCACTATGGACCTCATGCTGTCCTGTATGTCCTTACACGGCAATTGCAATAAATAACACACATTCCTGGTGCTGGGCCAAGGCTACTTCATTAAACATCGCTCATCATGCAGTCAGGGGGTGCATGCATAGAGTGTCAGGGGTTTTCTTCTGAGGCAGAGGTGGGCTGCAGCCCAGGAAATGTGGCACTGAGCAGTCTCTGCAGGGACAACCTGGGAGTGAAATCTTGGACCGGTAGCTGCAGTGAATATTTTATACCACTCTCTGTCTGATCTCGGCAGCAGTCTCTAGCCAACATAATTCTTTGTGAGTTACTTTCGTTAGCAAAACCTTTCACCCTATGAAGATGTTCTACTTAATTAGTAAAAGTTCAATTTTTTTGTCACCGACAGAGCCCCATACATCACCATGTCTGGAGAGTCATTAGCTATAAAATTAATCAGGGTGGATAACGGCTGAATAGAGTCAGAGCCCTTTGTGTTCCTTCCCATATCTCTGCCTCCAACATGAGAACCCTTTCAAGAAGGGGAATCCAAAAAGCAGCTCCAAATATCCAGGAGACCAGTTTCTAGGGTAGCACTGGAGCCGGGGGTATTTCTGCTCCTGAAGTGGAGGGGACAGGATGCCAGAACACTGCCGACTTTGTTCCACATTGGTCAGATCCATAAAGAACTCCAGCTGAGGGACTCTAAAAGGATGCTGGAATTTTCCTTTCACCTGCCTCTGGGAACACATCAAAGGCACTCATGTGTTCACTTGGGCAAGTTTGGTGTAAGCTTGAGCTGTGAAAAAGAGGGATTAGGTCAAACAGAAGGGTTTGCCACATACCACAGCTTGAGGACTCTGTGCCATGAGAGGGTATAAGGAAACCCAGGCCTATAAGAGAAATTCAAACCACTGGGACTCCTTCCCAATTGTGAACTTATTTCTGCTCAGGAGGTCTCTGCTTTGAGGTGGTGACTGCAATTTCCTTACAAGCTCATTTATTTCCAAGAAGACCAAATGACCAATGGCTCAGCATGGATTTGAAATCAGCTTCTTCCTGGTTGTTCTTTATATTTTCACCAATGTGCTCCCTGGAGATGGAGCCTGGGCTTTTCCACTGGCAGATGGAGCCCATCTGTATTTGCATGCAGGTGGGGAATGTTGCATGAAGTTGTGTTGAGGATGTTGGATGCTTTGCAGGAATCTTTGACAGATACATTAACTTACAGGGTGAGGTTTTTTTATAAAATAATAAATCCCTGTGTTATTCCTATCTCCTGAGAACAGGACAGTGTTCATCTGTCAGTCTCACATAACTTTTTCCTGCTTTTGCATTTCTTAAAATTAACAGGGAGATGTTGGTAGTTAGTTCTAATGAAGAACACTGACATTCTTTATTTATTTTCTGTTGTTGTAATTATTATTAGTAGTAGTAGTAGCAGCAGCAGTAAAGGAGGCCTTACAGTTTGATTGGTAGCAAAGAGGAATAATTATAGATAATGCAAGGGGTTGCAAGCAAGTTGATATCACTTAGAATTTTGCATAATTGATCATAGGACCTTGTCAAAAGTGAACTCCTCACGGTACACTTCATGTTGGTACAGAACAAGACCAGACAAGGGGGAGGAAGACAATACTTTGCCTGCACAAAAATATATCTTCCCACTTTGTAATTATTTTCCTCAGAAAATGTCTGAAAGGCAGCCACCCTGGTAGTGACTCGCTGGGCTGCTGCGCTGCCTCCAGGACTTGCCGATTCTCTGCTGCCTCTGCTGATGCTCATAACACCGAAGCTTTCTGCAGTCTTCTTTGACTAACAAGTGGCTCAAGGCCGTGAGCTCTGTCCTCACACTCCCGTCGAGTGTAGTTAAGTAAGTGTCTTAACGAATGGGAAGTGATTTCTCTGCCACATCCCTTCTGGGTACGAGTCCCACCCAGCCAGAATCACAAACGCTGAGGCCTTGTCCCTAAGAATGAAGCGTGTGTATCTCAGCAAACAATTCTGTCCTTGGTGTCTGATTGATTTATACAGCTTGTTTTCAGTGTGCTTGTGAAGGGATAAACTAGAAAAAATTGGAGCCTCATGCCTCAAAACTCAATATGATTGCTTGCAGTAGGACATCCTTTAGGCGACATGTCTCTCTGCAAAGCTGCAGAACTTTTCTTGGTGCTTTCCTGGGCAAAGCAAGGGGGTAAAACACATGGTAAAACACATGCTTAGTATTCACCCAAACCAATATGGATTATGCATTCATTCCTCCTCCATTTCTTCTCCCCCCCCTCCCTTTCCCCCCCCAGCTTTGTCATTCTTTGTGAAAATGAAAGGAAAGGAGAATTTCTCTTAGTCTCAAACTGAAGTTTTGTTCTTTTCATCTTTGGGAATCCTTAAGCTTAAGACAAATACAATTTGGATGATAGAAAACCCAGTTTTCTGTTGAAGAGAGTCTTCATTTCTAAAATGCCAAAATGGGATATTATCTTTCTTATTTGCTCATGTTTCCAGATTAGATATTTGAGGGAGTCAAAACAAATTTGTGAAAATCTTCCTGTGCCCTGAAATTACTTTTTCAGCAAACAAAAAATTGACCTCTAACATTATACCTAGCTACAGTTATCAAGATTTGTTTCAAGCTTTTCCTAAGCACGTTTGCCTCTTAAGCTTTTATTAGCAAGGACTGAAAAGCTCAACTTCCAAAGAATGGGGACTTTCAGACCACATGATGGCTTGAAAACGTGTGTAGTGTATAGACACCTAGTGGGTGGGTTGTTGGTATGTTGCTAATATCACATATACACACAGAAACATGCCCCAATTCCACATTAAGATCCCATATTTAAACTACTTAATAGGTGGACCATTAGCACTTTAACTGTGATACAGATCATCAGCACTGATTTAGACAGAAGAATGAAATGGTATTGATTCAGGATTATGGCCAGGTAAAGACACCATCAGGCTGTTTGTTTTGTGCTTGATGTTCAGTAAATGAACTAATTTATAGATAGGATTAGTGTGATCTATAGAACAGAGGTCAGGAATAGAAAGCAGTACACTGAACTACATGAACCGGAGACTGGATTAGGATTTAGGGGAATTAAAAAAAAAAAAAAAAGAAAATAAATATATGTACTCTAAGTGAAAGACAGCATGTAAATTGGTCTCAATTCTAGTATAGTGAGAAAAAAGAGAGTTTTCTCAGGAGCTGTTCCATCTGGACTTACGCTGCTTTGCACTGAATTCTCGTGAGCATAACTACACAACCTCATCCTGCCAGTTTGAGATCGGATGGGTGGAGAGAAGGTTCAGGTACAGAGCTGTAATTTGCTTCCCCTCTGCTCCCATAAATTAGCCCCAATTATCCCCAGGGTGTGTGTTTCACTAGTCTAGACCATCGACTACAACAGCTGTCTCCCAGAGGTGCCCTGTTGCCATTTGGCTCTTGGGGTAGTCACAAATTTTCTCCCCTGCGAACCAAAATCTAGTAATTTGTTTGATATTTACTTGGGGAGCCGATGAGAACGTTTTGAAAATGTCTCCATCTCAGGGGGAAAAAAAAGTGCGGTTTACATCTAAGTATACACAAAACACAGTAAAATGATGTATAGATTCTCTTCCTTTCTCCCATCCTTTTGCAGTCAGTACGGCTCTCAGGCAGGGGAAACCTGCAGTGAATTGCTATGAGTAAGAGAGAGTGGTCTCTGGGGACTTAAAAAATGGCCTGTGTTTCATGAGACAGCTTTCCAACCCCCCCTGTGATGGCAACCTCTGTGACTTTAGGTAACCCCTTCCTCTGCTGCTCTAGGCTTTTCATTTCCCATCTCACCCCTTCCCTGCTGAGTAAACATTTTAGGACAGGGACGATCTTTTCGGTCAGGGGTCCACAGTGTTAAGCACAAAGCAGCCTTCATCTCAAGAGAGGTATAAGGGTGCTAATAGAATACCAAAAGGAAAGCAAAGGCTCTCCATCCCCCCCTTCCTCTTGTCTGAAGCTGAGAGAGGAGTAAGTTTGTGTCCTTAAGAGGCTTGAAAAACAAATCACTTTCGTGTTTGTTAAGTGCTGAACTTCAGACGCTACGAAATAGACAGGCAAATATGAGAACCTGCTCAGCTAATTGAGATCCAAGGTAGGAAGCAAAATTGGTGTTAGTGAAACTTCCCCTGAAAAGCTAGAATAACTCAACCAGTTATTAAACTCTATTAAGCCAAAGAAATATCAGCAAAAGGTGATTTCTGGAGGAAAAGTCTCTCTTTCCCCCCTCTCACAGCCCGGCATCATGCAGGTATCACAGTGTGAGGAGTCAGGTTTGTCCAAGTGTTTTCCAGCTTCATTGCATCATCTGCCCCAGGCACAGAGTACCCAGACAATTTGATCCAATTTGTTATCAAGATGCATCAGACTTCTCTATAGTCTCTTTAGTCTCCCAGGTTCTAGGATGAAAAACCTCTAAGTGCAATGCTAGAGCAAAGATGGCTCCAAGGCACCCAGGTTAGGATGAATGCACTTTAAAAGCATCTGTTAACTCTGTATCACTTTTCAGCAATAAAAATTACTTCACACACTGTCTGCAGTTCCCATTTCTAGGGCTTCAGTGCTTTGGTGGATGGAAAGAAGGAAGCCTGGAGCATACAGAAGAGAAGGTAGTGCATGGCACGTTTCATACTAATCAATTAATTTGATTTTTTTTCAGACTTTTCCCTACAGGGTGATGTCTGGGCCTGTGGTTTTCAAAGCATCACCCATCCCCTGCTTGCTCACAGAACACAGACCAGGGCTCCTGGGAGGATTGTCAAATGTACACTTGCCTGATGGACTCCCATCGCACCCTTAGTTTTCCAGCTTGCTTTGCCTGCTTTGTGGTGGCTGAGGACTCTCAGGGACCAGGGGAAGCCCAGCTGGCCAGAAGATCTCCATCTCAGTTTGGCCAGGTAAGTGGCACAAACAGGCATGGTGTGGAACTGGGATGTCACTGGTGTTGGGAAGCTGTGACCCTTGAGGGATGAATGTGGCACATTCAACCCAAGGGAGATGTGAGGAAGCAGGACAACCAGACCGGCTGGGTGGTCTGGTCCCCCAGATCTCTCAGAAGGGCTGTCCTTTAGCAAGCAAACATTTCACTGCACGTCACCTGCCAAGGCTCAGTGGGGAGTCACCTTTTCCTGTTCCAAATATTTTCGATTGTCATTTGTTCCTGGTTCCCCACCCTACAAAAAAAAACAACACCCCCAAACATTCGAGTGCTCTTTTTTTCATCTTTCTTTACTATCGTCACTACTTTTCCCATTCCCTCTTCCCATGCAAACCCAAAAATAATTAAATAAATCCTGTCTTAATTATACACAAGCATATGAACAACACAAAGGAGCCGTTAACACAATCAGCAAAAAGCACTAATTCCAACAGTCTTTCCCAGGGCCCTTCATGGTGTGTAATGTTGGAACAGCCACTGTCGAGTGGTGCTGGGGAGTGGGGCTGCCTTCCCAAGCTGTCTCTCCCCCTATCCTCCCACTGTCCCCTGTGACCCCTGCACCCCCTGGCCACCCCCCATCATCACTCTCTTGGCCATCCCAGGGTGGCCTCGGCTCTCAAGGCCAATGGTAGCCCTTACCCTCCTCCTGCCTCTCCCTGGGCTCCCTCTGCACCCTCAGACACCCGCAGATGCAGGATGCTCGGGGCTTCTCCTGCCAGTTGGCGGGTGGAGGGAGTGAGCTGGACGTGGTGGGGGTTGAACTGTTGCCATTGGAGATGGCAGCAGATGCTTCCTGGTGGAGGCTGTGCTGGTTAATTCAGGGCTTTGTGGTTTGAGACAGAATCCCAATTATTTCCAATTAGGAGATTGTAGTGACAGCTGCTCTCATCAGGGTCTTCTCTCGTGGCTGAGAAACTTGCATCCACTTTTAGCTGGGTTGGGATACCTGCATTTCTAGAACGGGGCCCTCAAACTTTTTTTTATAACCTCGTTTTCTTCCACCTCTTGCTAAGCAAATCTTCCTCTCTCCCACGCAACACCATGAGGTTTCTCATGAGGAATTTGGCAGTGGAAACATTCTTATCTCTCCCTTATCAAAATCCATTCATTTTCTCCTCTCTATATACAGGATTTAATTCTCCTGTTGGGCTGTCCTGCTCCCTCTCTTCCCAGTTCCCCCATTACTTCTGCCTGCCCTGTGATGTATGGGCCTTGTCAGGCAGTTTTGGCCTGACCCAGACAGCCAAAATCAGAGGAAAACTTGGTTTTATTTTGCCTGGGGAGAATTCATCATGGAAGGTGTCTCACTTAGGGAAATTAAAGATGAAAGAAAGGGAGAGCTAGAAATTTATTCTGGTTTAGTGTTAAAAATATATCTAACTACTCCTATGTTAAAAGCTGATATTTTTTCTTCACTTTTTTCTTCTTCCTCTCTTTTTCATCCATATCACACAGTCCAGAGACAGAATTCAGAAGAAAGGGACATAGGGCCCTTTGCTGGCTGGTTTGAAGATGCTGGCTGTGGTAGAGGAGTGAATAGGAGAGGAAGGAGGAGATGTTGAACAGCAAGAAGCGTTTCTCTCCATTCTGTCTCATAACTACTCATCAGAGGCAAATCTAATCCTAAAAATACAAACTAGACAAATCCTTTGGAAGGAGAAAGGGGAATTTGCTTTGTTTATGATTCAGCTAAATCCTTGTTTGTTTGGATACGAAGCCTGTTGAGTCACAGCAGGTCTAAGCAAACCACCAGCAAAGTGCAGAGTCCTGGAGAGTCTTGCCCAGCGGCAGCAGTTCAGAGCCTGCTGTTTCTTCCCTCCCTCAACAAACACTTGTCCACTAAATGTGCTTGCACCCAGAGGGGACAGGATTGAGAAGCTGGGGACACTACCCATGTTGAGAAGGTGATACCAAGAGGAGGCCAGGTCCTACCTTAATCCAGGTGATGTAAACAGCAGTACTGAGCTGGGCACAAACCCCTGCTCTACCAAGGAGGGACACAAATTTAAAAACCTCTGCTGATGTCAAATCCACAGACATCACCAAGAATTTGGGCAGCAGGTTTTGGCCCACAGTGTTCTTGATCCCCACATGGCCATGATCTTCATCACGCTTTCCATTTTACATGGGACCCAAGAGGAAAGGTTTTAGACTGGGAGATTTTTCAGTGGGTTGCAAAACACTGAAACAATGTGGTATTTGGATGACAGTGTTGTCTATTAATCCATATGGAGCACTTAGATGCTATGGAAGATAAGTGCCTTGTAAATACAGATAAATAGATTAGATTAGACCTTGACAGTGGTTCATGCAAAAGGCATTTATATGTGCAAAAATAGTAACATTGTAGAAAAATAGCTATTATTTGAAACCTTGGGCCAGAGCTTCTATAATTGATATTGTTGGAAGAAAGAGGAAGCTAATGGAGAAAAGCTGCCATGACTGCCCTTTTGTCATTGACTAATTCTTTCAGCAATCAAGGCGACATTACCCAGATCCCACTTAGGCCTCAAAGCGAGTGGCCACATTTTTCAAGAGAGTACAGCTCAATGAGTGCCCAGTCCTTTCAGAATTCATCTTGTGAGGGCTGTAATGGTGGGGAAAAGGGAAGGAGAGTGCTTTTGAAAACCTGCCCTCTCTTTTACACCCTGACTGCTTGGAAATCTAGGCCAAGGCATGGCTTGGAGAGCATGCCAGAGAACTGTCACTGGCCAAGGATGTGGACTTATACATGTCCCTGATGCAGGTGTTCTCCTCAGAAACATCGAAGACAGTGGGAGGAGAAGGATGTAGGGTTCTTGTTATTATCAGCTCTACCAGGGCTGATCACAACTGGAGTTTAACCAACTGGTACCTCTGCCAGTCTGTTCAGGTACAAGATCCCAGCACATAGGAAGTTCCTCCAGTGATGTAGATTTACATCTTCCTAAGCTACAGAGCTCTGGTCTACTGCAAATGAAAGCAGAACCTGGATCTTAATTTATCCACACAAAAATGGAAGATAGAAAAGCAGAAAATAAACATCTGAGTGATCTAGGAAATCATGAAACAAGCAGCAGTTTTGTTCCTGAAACAAATTACAATTAAGTAACATCATTACTCCCTCAGCACCACTTGTTCCTGTTGCATTAGGTACAAAACCCAAGTGCTTAAAAGCCAGGAGATTAATAATTAAGAACATCATACATCTTTTATTGCCTACATAAAACATATAAAGGGTGAAATCCTGACCCATCTGAAGGCAATGTCAAAGTTCTTCTTGACTTTAGATGAACTTGGATTTTACCTAAATTGTTTTGTCAAATACAACAAAACATGTCTCCTAAGAAAACTCAACAATCTCAATTCTGACCCAAGATAGATACTTTTCTATGATCTAGAATTCAAATAGAAAACAAAGCCTTTTTAAAAAATGTGAAACACACCTACAAAATGAATATTGCTTTGAAGAACAATAATATTTTGGAATTCTTTTTTAATATAACAATGGGCATATATTTACCTATTACAAATGCAGTATTACCCAATAGTAATGGTATTTGGAAATACTTCTACTAACTAATCATATTTGCCACTCATGAAGATTAAGAAAATGTTTGTACACCAAATTCAATGAAATAAACATATCACATAAAAGAGGGGAAACTAAAAAAGAAAACAATCCACAGGTTAAGCATGAGGTTGTTTTGCCAAAATAAAAAGTGCACTTCTTTGTACTTAAGTTAAAAATATATATTTATTATGTGGGCAGTATAGGGTTTCAGGAGTCCTTAATCATTCATTTCCCTGCTTTTAAGTGTGAGGGTTTTGCAAATGATGTGATAAGTAAGTACATTGTTGTCACTTAGCAACCTTAACTCGTTTCTGAAGTGAGTTGTTTGTTTCTATAATAAATGAGACACTCAGATACCATGGTGATGAGCATAGGAGACCTTGTATGCTTAGACAGAGTGCTATCTTGATAAATGTGATATTTTTCAGAGGTATAAGTCCCTCACAACAGAGGAGTAGCTCTTTGCTCTCATCCACAACATAGAAACGTGGTCACTGGCTGTGTTTGTGCTGCCTTATGAGGAGCACCTGGAAGCTGTTCTGAAGACAAGACTCATTGTCCTTTCAGGCAGAAAACCGGGAATTTTGTTCTTAGCTATGGCTGGAGGTCGCCTCTATGATGTCCAAGATCCTGGCTGTCCAAGTATGCCCTTGATGGGTTTGCAGCCAGTTCTCAGATGCTTTCATCGTTATCACCAGCCTTCAGTGTGAAACTTTATTCTTTGCATCCAGCTCCACACTCGGAAAACACCATCTTTTCATCTCCAGGCAGTCCTGCTAGAACTGCACTGGGCCTTCTCTTGTTCCCTAATTACTCCTTTATGCACTTCTTCTGATGTAACCCAGCTATAATGCCAGCTTAACCAGCTGGGAGAAGATTGCTGGCCTCTGGAAAGCCTGCTGTGATAAAGAACCTCCAGTATGGTTCCAGCAGATGGGAACTGATGCCAAACCTTGAGGGCTGTGTCTGGGGAAAAAAGGAAAAAGACAAATAGTTTGGCTGAGATTGAACTCCCTCCCTCAAATCTGAGTTTCTGCTTTCTGGGACTAAATTAAAGCACAAGAGCTAACAACAAGTGTCAAAATAGATTCTAGACAACTCTGTTCCATCCTAAAACGGCTTTTACTGCACAAGACTCTGGTAAATCCTTGGACATAGTCGATCCTGCTTGACCTTACCTGATTTTTCCAATTTTTCTTTTCCCTCATTCCTTCTCTGTATTCCCTGACTTTACACATAATATATTTGTGTTGCTGTTGCTGCTTCTTGAGTTTAAATTAATCTTTTAAAGAAGGATGAACCACATGAACTTCCTTTTGGTTTTAGAAACCACATCCATATTCATAATGCACTAATCATGTTTGATAAATCAGAATTCATTGTGAAACATACTAAACCTTCATGTTGCTTCAGTTTTTAATCTTGTAGGAAAAGCAATCATCTATGCAATGCATTTGAAGGGGTTGGGCTGGGCTGTCTTGGGTGTCTCATTGAGTCAGCTTCCTTGTTTGTACAATACAGCTTGTGCTGCTGAATCTAAGCTATCATCTAAAAACATAATTAAGTCTTCAGCACTTCAGTAGCAAGAAAAATCTTCACAGTGTGAATCAAGCAACATCTTGGTGATGCTGGCCTGAGTCTGCAACTCGTCTGGAAGAGCAGGTCTGAGCTTTCCCCTCATTCCAGTGGTGTAACCACGCTGAAACCTCAAGATCTTACTCTTGCAAGTCAGCAATGGTAAGTATTTCACCTGCAGTCAAAGAATAGACAGAGCAATTAGTAGCTGTAGACATCAGTAGCATCTTTATTATGCAGTGCCTTGTTTAATCTGGGTACAGTTTGCAGATAACAGTGAAAAGACGGTATTTCTGCCCCTCAGACATTTGCACATAAGTATGCGCATTTGGACATTTTCTGTTTGTAAAAATGGGATTTATTGGCAACACCTAGATAAGTGCAAGATTAGCTATGTCACTTTTTTCTTTTATTTTTTTTCTTTCTTTTCTTTTTTTTTTTTTTTTTTTACCTTTGGTTCATTACTCCAAACCTTTTTTTTGG